GGGTACCTTGTTAACAACTAGCAATCCAGAATCTAAAGAAAACTCCAGTTAAAAAAAAGACTTGGGAGGGGGTGAAAGAAAAAGGAGGGGAATAGTCACTGTCTTTGAGATCCTGCCTGCATCTTCTCCCCACAATCTCTCCACCAGGGACCGGCTCTCATGGCAGGCTCCTGGCTGGCCCCTACAGCGTCTCCGTAGCTGACTAGGTGTCTACCCTTAAACACTGCTGGGGCTGGAGGACAGGTGGGTTGGAGTCCTTACATCCTTGAGGGTTAAATTGTTCACTGGTTGTTCTGGAGTTGCTTAGTGTTACTTCTGCTGTTTGCTTATCGTTGAATAAAGTAGAAATGTTGGATAATGCAAACCTCCAGGTACTGTCCCTTCTTGGGTGTGGGGTCCAGAAATAAGCGGCCCCTTGTCCCTGAGCAGGAGGGCCATGGCGAGGGCTCCGAGTTGGGTCATTCCACAGTGGCTTCTCTGCACAGACGGCTGAGCTCCACTGGAGAAAGCAGGCAAGGCCTCAGGCTGCCTTGCCCACAAAGCACCTTGGCCTCCTGGCCTGAGATACCTTGTGCATTTTGTGCCAGGGAGGGACCTAGGCAGGCGCCTGGCCTCAGCCCAGGCCCAGGTGATACACAGAAGCCCCACCCCGCCCCATGGGGACTGTGCAGACAGGGAATCGCACCTCAGAAGTGGCCGTTGCCACGTCCCCATGTGATCCATGGGGAGCCAGCGCCGACAGGGAGGGGAGGGCAGGTGACCAGCTCCTGGCTGTGGCTCTGTGGGGGTGCTCATTCCCAGCACATGCAGACCCCGGGGTTCCACCCCTTGCAGCACGACTCAAGAAAGGGCCAAGCACTGCCTGGGAGTTGCTGAGATGCAGGCGTAGCCTCCTCACCACCTTTTCATTGCTGGGCTTTTATCTTTTTGATTTTTGGACACTAGGTCTTGGTGTTTGCCTTCAAACCAGGATCTTCCTGTCTCAGCCTTTGGAATAGCTCGAATTACAGGCATGTATCACCAAGTACGGCTGCATAGTACTTAGGTTCTTTGGAAAAAAAAAAAAAAAACTTGTGAGCTCTGGGGCGGCATATAAGATAGGCTTTTTTAAGTGTTTAGAATTTATTGGCAGCATGGTTTGAACTCAGGGACTCAAGTGTATTTAGCGTGCTCATACCTGATTGGTGGCCTACCACTTGAGCCATACCTCCAACACTGCTTTGTCGCTGGTTATTTTGGAGACAGTCTTGCAAACTTCTTCTCTGGCCAGCTTCAAACTGGTCCTTTCGAACTCAGCCCCGAGTAGGATTGCAGGCATGAGCCAGGGCTCCTTGTTTAAAAATAAGATTCTGTTAAAAGTTGTAAAGAGAATCCTATTGGCTTTAAAAATTAATGTCGAGAGCCTGCCGTGGTGATACAAGCTGCTCAGGAGGTAGAGGCAGGAGGATCAGGAGTTAGAGAAAAATCCAGGCAGTGAGGAGACCTGGTCTCAAAAGCAAACATGCAAAACAACTGGAGCTGGCTGCCAGTGGCTCACACCTGTAATCCTGGCTACTCAGGAGGCTGAGATCTGAGGATTGAGGTTTGAAGTCAACTCAGGCAGGCAAGTCCATGACTTTTTTTTTTTTTTTTGTGGTGGTGGTGGTCGTGGACTTGAACTCTGGACTTGGGTATCCCTGAGCTATTCAGCTCAAGGTGTGGGCTTTATCACTTGAGCCACAGCGCCTCTTCTGGATTTCTGGTCGTTTGTTGGAGATGGGTCTCACAGACTTTACTGCCCTGGTTGGAACCACGATCCTCAGATCTCAGCCTCCTGAGTAGCTAGGATTACAGGCGTGAGCCACCAGCAGCCAAGTCCATGACTTTTACTTCTAACCAGCAAAAATCCAGAAGTGGAGCTGTGGTCCAAACAATAGAGTGCCAACCTTGCGTAAAAAAATGCTTAAGGGATAGTGTCCAGGTCCCAAGTTCAAGCCTCATTACTGGCACAACAACATGAAAAAAATAATTGGAGGCGTGGGTTCAAGTAGTAGAACAGGCGTGAACTAAAAAGCTGAGGGACCATGTGAGGCCATGAGTTCAAGTCTTTATAAAGTTACTAAGAAGGAGGTGTTGTTAGATTGAGAAGTGTGGCAAGCTTATCCACACTTGTTCAGAAGCCCACCTTGTTCAGAAGTAGTTTTCTGGAAGCCCTGCTCAGCTACACTGCCCATGAGGATGCAAACTCCAGCTGCAAAGCCCAGTTTTGTCCTTTGAAAGGTGTGGAATGGAGGTGTGGTTCAAGTGGTAAAGCAGGAGCTTACTGGAAAACAAAAACAGACAAAATGAATAGAGACGTGGAATCCTTACTCTGCCTCACCTCAGGGCTGCTGGAGAACAGCAGGACAGTCCTGCAGAGTAAGTGAACAGTCAATACATGTAAAGGATAAACCTGGACCCTCTCCACATAAGGGCTCAAAGCCTTGTGTCCTCAGCTGTCCCTGGCTAGGAGTGGCCCATCAGGAGGACTGCGTAGGAGGGGTCTGGCTTGACCCCCGAGCATGGCTTGGCAGTTGTGCCTGAGCCCAGTGTTTCCAACAGCTCGAAACCCTGGAAACCGCTGTCATTCTGACATCATAGTACAATGTGTCATCCACCCTGGATGCCCTGATTTAAACCTAGGAATGGATGAGATAGGGTCTGAGCCCAGCTCACGTCTCTTTTCAGGACTTAAATACAGTGGCACACAGCCCACATGTTCTTAAACCAAAGTCTCGCAGTCTTGTGTCCTGTACAGGTAGCTTTAACAAGGTGGTGTTTATGATCAGGCATAGTTTCTAAGTGATTGCCAATAATACAGAGCAGACTATAATGGTATACTGTGATCTCTTTCTGGAAAGAACTCACAGCTGCACTCACCCTTCTGGGAAGACGAGAGGTCCAGGGCCCTCAGGAGGGCATGAAGAGGGGCAGATGATGACGTGGCACCAGGTCACTCCTGACTTTAATGAAATGGTAGAAGGACATACCTGCTTTGGTAATCTTGGGTAATAGTTGAAGGCTCCTTGCTTCCCACTCTCCCCCCACCAAACTAAATCCTTTTGGCCCTGTTGCTTTGGATCCATGGTAGATTAATATGGGAAGAACCCAGGGTAGAGCAGCCAGGAAGCAAAGAGGAGGAGAGGAAGAAGCTGGGTCCCTTATCTACACCAAGAGCCCACCTCCAAAGACCTAACTTCCTCCCACTTGGCCCCACATAGTGCCACAGGCTTGGGACTGAGCTTTCATTGAACACGAGCCTCTGGGGCACATTACAGACCTCAGTTCTAGCAATTACACATCTTTCCAGTCCTCTCCAATGTTACTTTTCAGATGTACCTGATGGGAAGTGCTTAGGAAGTTAGACCATAGTTATAAAAGGCTTTATGGTTGGGGTTAAGCCATACTGGTAACTGTTTTGTAATTTTAGGAGTATACAGTTATGCTTTAGTTTATCATGATGAAAATGGCACATTTGATAACAGAACCATCTTTAGCATAAAAGAATGACCAACATGCATGTCAGTTCTTTTAGGACTGGGGTGTAACTTAGTGGTATTAGTGTATGCCAAGTATATACAGAGGCCTGGTTTCTGCCCTTAGCACAAATAAAGGTGCACATGATTTTAATGAACTAGCTCAGCCCAAAGTTTAATAATAGCAGTTGCCAATGTATAGAGGGCTTAACAGATCTAAGCATGTAATCTCTTACTGAGATTGTCCTTACCCCCAAAACTATATCTAGAAGTTGTATTTTTTAATATTTCATTGTTATACCTACAGAATTATTCTAATGAGAGACTGTGAGGGGAAGGGCTCCATTATTGAGAGATCACTTAAAATATGTGGTGATTCTGCCTGTTCTGTAGCTGGCTTCCTCTCAAACATGTGCTTGTGCATGTGTGCATGTGTGCATGCCTCTTCCTATGGCCAAGGGCAGTTAGATATGACTTGTGGCCAGCACAGCACTGTCCCCTGCAGAGGACATGGAAGACAGTTTTCCTTGGGTCCTGACCAGAGTCTTGGTGGAGCAGGGAGGCTACGTAATGTGGCCAGGTCTCTGAGTCAGCCCCTGGAGAACCTGCAAAGGAATCTTCCTGCTACAAGAACACAGCCAGGCGATGTGATGAACACTTTTATTTACAAATATAATTAAAAGCTCTGACAGTTAATCATGCTCTTCCTTGGAACCTGAAAAATGTTTTGTTTTTTTTTTTAAAGTGCATGCAAAAGAAGTAAAGCCTTTTTTTTTTCATCATTTTTTATTGTAAGAAAATACACAGTTTGAAAGTGTGAAGAATGCAGTTATTTATGACCAAGATATGGGACTCAGGAAAGGGGAAGGGAAATAAAGAAAAAGGCCGAGATGGTTTGATTGAGAGACAGTGTTGAACTCCAAATACTGAATTGGAAAAGGAGGGAGGCGGGGAGGGTGGGAGGGGAGGAACAGGAGGAGGAAGTAAAAAAATTTGATCAGAGAAACAGTTAAAATACAATATGAAAATAAGTAATACCTCTCCTTAAATTCCTTCTATACACAAAATACACGATTTGCCAAAGCCCAATTTGTGCTACTGGGATTCTGTGAGTTCTTTAAGTGTATTCACATCCTCTGCAAGTGCAGAAAATGGTTATGATACAATCAGGATATGCTGAGGACAAGTTAAACCCTTGCCAGCAAGTTTCTTAAAAATCACAAGATCTCTCCACCCCCCCACCCCCCAGCCCCAAAAAAGTAATAATATGTCACCACTGATATGTACATCACAATTAGTTTCTGTAAAATGTATCAAATTTTCAATCTTTAATAAAACTTTGTTTTTTTTAATTCCTGATGAATAAATACCAAAAAAATAAAATAAAATAAAATAATGCAGCAGCTAGTTAAGGTGTAAGGCTGCGGATATTGTGTCTCTCTCCCCCTTGGCGTTTAGTATTATTATCATCATCATTATCATTATTATTATTGTTTTTTTGCTTTACTTTCACAGATTGAGCGATTGCTTAAAGCAATATCCATCCACTTTTCGTTGTTGGTTTATTGGTTTTTTGTTCAAAGTGTCTCCGAGGTTCTTGTGAATCTGCAGCCACGTCAGCATGACGTGGGTTATGGAGAGAAGGCGGCCGGAAGCTGGCCAGCACTGCAAGTGGACACGGGGGAGGAAGGGGCCCCTGATGGAGGAAGAATACACAGGCACTAGTCCGACACGGTGTCAGTAAGAGTAAGAGAGAGAGAGAGTGACAGAAACGCCCGTTCAAATGGGGAATGTGGTTTTGCAGGGTCTCAACTTTTTCTGTTTTCATTTTTTTTTTGTAAATGGCAAAAAAATTTAATCTCATCTATAGTCCTCCTTAGGAAAATCTAATGTAACCAAATTCCCAAATCCCATTCTGAGGCTCTCCATGTCAAAAGTTTCAATCTCTCGCTCTTGCCTTTCCAAGAGGAACTTGATTCTCTCGCTGCGTTCCTTCTGCAGGGCAGCCAGCTCCTCTTCAATCTGAAACAAGCACAGCAAGCCATCCTTAGTGGGCTCTCGGTGGGCATACTAGGCACATGTGACATGTGTACAACTACTGTGTGCATGCGCACCTACTGTGTGTGCGTGTATCCTACTATGCACGTACACGGGAACCTGGAGTTAAGTGACCATAGAAGGCTGAGAGAGGCCTGTAATGAATATCCTGCATGGTACCATTAGGTTTCAAACTTGCTGCCAAGAATAAAAATGCTAAGGCTCACCCATGAGAGCGATGCTACTCCAGCCCAGACTCCAAGCTCTGGGCTGATCTAGGTCAGTGGTCTTGACACAGCAGGAGGTAGCTCAAAAGCTGACAAGGCCACACAACAGCACAGTGAGATGCACGGCTTAATCACAGAGGGTAATGGCTGTTAAAACAGCAGCGGGGAAAGCTGCTGGTCTTGGCTAACAAGTAGATTGCCCACCAGCTTCCAGATGCCCCATGGTACCATCTACTTCATATACCCAGGATATCTGGGATGGTGGATATTTCGATTGGGATAACATTTACTACAGACAGCAACGTCAGCCTACCTACATTTTAATTCTTATTGTGGCTTAACTGCCACATGTGCACTTGGCTTTCCCATGCCACTCAGTGCCTACACTACCAGCTTAGAAGGTGGAGGGCTTCTTAGCGGGTTGTTGCTATGAGATCAGACTTAGCAAGTTCATGACCTTAGCATCCCGGGGCCCATACTGGCCGTCCAGGGGTGCCTGGAGTATAATGCTGCCAGTAAGTGAGCAGTCGCTAGTGGGGCTCCCCAAGCCCCCTGGCCCCAGCCCACCCCATTCCAGCTTAAGGGGTGCCATAAGAATGCTCATACCTTCTGCTCAAGATGTGCTCTGCGCAGAGACACCCTCTGCTCTAGCTTCTGGAGCTCACGTTCATGTTGTGCCTCTGTCTGCATCTTGATTTTGCTCTGGTAGGCGTTGAGCAGCTCCATTTCCTGCTGGAGCTGTAGCCTCAAGGCCTGGCATTCTGCTTCCTGAGCCTCATCTAGCCGTAACTGCGGGCACACACAGAAGACACACAGTGTAACACAGCCCTGGCTGGTGGTACATGGGATGACTGGCTGCGGTTGGTCCCCACAGTCTGTTCATTCTAGGATCCCACCAGGGATGTCTGCCCAATGGGCCACGAGGTCTTGCAAACACTTCGCTTTCAGGAGGACCTAGTGGCTAACACATAGGCTTTGGGGATAGATTCCCGAGACTGAGGTCTGGCCACCACTCACATGAGCCACCTTGCCAACTATACAACCTCTCTAGGTCTCTCTCTTTTTTAAACTCTCAAGAAAATTGGCATGAGGGTCATATAAAAGAAGCCATATTGTAATCCCGGGCATACTAAAACATCCAATGACCAGAAGTTGGTTTAGTACCATTATTTTGGTTTTGATAAGACCATTTCTATATCTAGACACCTTTAACCATAAAACCACAAAACCACTGAGGTAGCTGTACATAAGTGAGTCTAATGGCTGTCAAACCTGAGGAGCATGCCACAGTACTGCCATGATCTTGTCCCACCAGGCTGACCCCCACCCTGGTTGGCTAGAGAGGTTACCATCTTGTTAGCTGGCTGAGGTGGTTTCAAATCTCTTTCCCCAAGGGTGGCTTAATAATCTCAAGGGCAGGTTGGGGATAGTGTGTATTATGAAAGGGGTACCCAGGGGGAAAAAAAAGAGGTCCTGGGTACATTCACAGCCAGGAGTATCTGCCCAATGGGCTATGAAATCCTGATGATGTTGCTTTCAGGAAGGAAACTGCAGGAGCCGGTGTCAGGGTGGCTGAGCCCAGATAGCCTGTGGAGTCATGAGGTCTAGCCTGCAGAGGCAACCTGGCCAATTTTCCTCTGCTTCCAGAAGCACTTAACTCTGTCTGGATCTTGTGTGCAAAATGGGTCAAGCCAGCCCTTGGAAATGCCAACCTCACTTTGAGCAGGAGGGCCTCAGTGCCCCGTGCCTGGCACAGTTGTGTCCTCAGATGGTGGTGCCTAGTTTGGCTGAGAACTGTGAGGTGAGAACCCTGGAATCAGACACTTCAGGCTTCCCCAAGGGGGCCGTTTAATCAAGAAACCTCCTCCCCTCCATACAAATTGTGACAGCGAACAACCGGTCATGCTATCTGGATGGAGAACTGACTCCCTGACATGCTAGGATAGTTCTACAGAGTTATTGTTGGAGCACAGAACTTCTGGAGAAATACACCATAGATGAAAGGAACAGAAAATTAATTAGTAGTTGTATTTCCATGGCACCTTCTGATAATTAATCCTCACCAGCCCCTATTAAAACCCCTGAGCATTTAGACCATGTTCTTCTCGTCTCCCCTATCACAGGACTGTTAGCGGTCTGCAGCAGGGGCAGCCCTCATTACCTCCCCACAGGAGGTTCTTCACCAGAAAGACCACATCTTGTTCTGTCCTGCTCATTAGTTTTAGTTGTTATCACCCTGAGCAGGCAGGTGAGAGGCTGGCTCATTTTACAGGCAATATAGACATCAGAAACCCCTCCATCCTGTTTCTGGCATTTCCCCCCCCCCACACTATTTCCCCCCCAGTCATGGGGCTTGAACTCAGAGCCTGGGTGCTGTCACTAAGCTTTTTGTGCTCAAGGCTAGTGCCCTACCACTTTGAACCACAATGCCACTTCCGGTTTTCTGGTGGTTCACTGGAGTTAAGAGTCTCAGACTTTCCTGCCTGGGCTAGCTTTGAACCAGGATCCTCAGATCTCAGTCTCCTGAGTAGCTAGGATTATAGGCATGATTCATCGATGCCTGGCTTTCTGGCATTTTCTTATTGGTTTTTTTCTTATTAATAGAACTCTGAGTACGTAAGTTCCCATGATGGAAATCAGAGGACAATTCGGGACTTGGTATTTACCAAATCCAAATCCAGTCAAAATTGTTTATCTGTACATTTGTGTTTTCTAAACTGGCTTCAATGGAAGGCCAGGATGTGAAAGAGGCAGTAGGAAGCAGTAGTGGCCAAGCTCACAGGTTCCTCCTACTTGACTCTACTACTACATAGCTAAGTCAATTCCTGTAGGCAGGAGCTGACACACTGTAGTGTGACAGTGGGCCAATGGAGCCTGTGGCCCGTGTTTATGAATAAAGTTTTATTGGATGCAGGATTGCTCATTGTCTAGGCTGTTTCTGCACTACCTAGCTGTGAGACCTTGTGGCACACATGGCTTACAGTGTTTACTGTCTGCCCTATTAGACAGAGAGAAAAGCAGGCGCTACCCTGTTCCAAGAGGGAGCTTGTCTGTCTTGGAATAGAAGACAATTACTGTTTTTCCTTTCCCATCCTCTCTCTTCCATCTTACACAGATTCACTGAATGGTTGCTATATGCCAGGTACTGATGCCAGTGCTAAGAAAATAAAGTTTCGCAAGACAAGAATCCTACCCAACCCTCCTATGGTCCCAACCCCCCTCTCTCCTTTTCACTTCTCATCCCTTCCTACCCTGGTCATGCTCCAATTGGATCCCTCTACTCAAACTGCATCTTTCCCCAGCCTTCTAAAATCCTACACATACCTCTTGTGTAACCTCCCCATTCTGTACTCTCCCAGGCCCTTACTACATACAGGTGCTCCTCAGGGATTTGTCCCGGGCCTCTCTAAGTCCCCTTCTTAAGGGACCGCAACCACTGTGAAAGCCTCAGTTGCCAGGAACTCCTATCATGTCAGACTTCCTTTCTGAGGCCTGCGAGATATGATCATACCAAAGTCAATTCGTCATTTTCCTTCCTGCTTCCCCAACCAGCTCTTCCTCCACTTTTTGTGTGGAAGCAAATGGTACCATTATCCACCGTTCTTCTCAAGCCAGAGGCTGTAGCCATTCTTAAACCTCCCTCATCCAGAATGCCCCTTGTCTAGCTGCCCCTGGTGCCCAGGTAAAGCAGCATCATATACAATCTCCTCACACCCGCTTTGGCCACCTTCCAGGTCATTCTTCACGTCACCATTGCTCAAAGGTACACATCTGATGTCAGGCCTCTGCTCTAGCATCAGACTAAGCATTCTTCAAGCTGCAAATCCTGAGTGACTAGAAGACTGGGATGTTTTCACAAGTGCATGGGCTGCCATCTTTGCATCCGCAGCTCCTCGTTCCAGCCCAGCCTAGCTTCCTGCTGGCTTCTTGACCTTGCTGGGCCTTGAACAATGTTGGTTTCCCTCTATTCTTCCAGAAATCCCATGAGGCCCTCATCCATGTCACATTTACCCAGGCACAGCACAGGAACTCAAGAAAGATCTGCTAGATGAATGAAGGAGTGAATGTGTGCCACAGGTCTCCTCCACAGTCAGAACATTTAAGCTTCTCTCAACTCACAGAATCTTCCTTTGACTGTTTGCTTCCAGCAGCAGGGGTCTGCACAGAGTCTCACATACAGTTTCTCCTTCCTTTCTTTTTCTTTGTGGTGGTACTAGGGTTTGAAATCAGGGCTTCATACTTGCTATGCAAATGCTCTATCACTTGAGCCATACCCCTAGCCCTTTAGGCTTTAGGTTACTCAGGAGCGTGCGCTTTTGCTTGGGCTGCAGTCTTGTTACTCTGTGTCCATGTAGCTGGGATTACACCTGGCCTCTCCCTCTTTTGAGGTACAGTCACTACAATGTCTCCTATTCCCACTGGTCTCCTGATGGTCTTGGGAAGCAATGGACAGACTCATGGCCAGACACACCAAGTACCCCAAAGTCCAGTATTCTACTGTCTCTGCCCACTTGAAATCTGTAGTTAAATATGAACTGGGAGACAGGATCTTTCCTGGTTCCCCTCCTGTATCTCTGAGTATTCATTTTCTTTGCAGTGCTCTTTCCCCCCTTCCCCCTCAGTACTGGGGGTTGAACTCAAGGTCTCCTGATTGCTAGGTGCGTGCTCTACCACTTGGCCACACCTCCAGTCTCTTTTTGCATTGGTTATATTAAAGGGTTTCACTTTATGCTGGGCTGGCGTGGGCAGGGATCCTCCTACTTGCACTTCCCATTTATCTGGGATAACAGACATGTGCCACCAAACTAGCCATTGGTTGAAGTTTCTGCCATCTAAGAAGCTAGGATTGTAGGTCTAAGCCTCTGTGCCCAGCAAAGAAGACAAATAACTACTGTGAAATGAGCATTCTGGGTTTTTGAATGCTTGAACTCAGGGCTTCACACTTGCTAGGCAGGTGCTCTACTGCTTGATCGACATTGCCAGGCTTTCCTTGTACTCCTTTAGGCAAGCAACCGGGCTCTTCATTTCCCTCTAATTCCACTCCAGTCCCTAGTAGATCCCACCTACTACTGCCCCCAAATGGCAATGGTGTGGAACTTTCCTTTGCTCCCCATATCCTCTATGAACTAGACTTTTATGTCTGTAGGGTTCTTGCTGGACACTGTAGAGCTAAGATACCATGCCCAAAACGTAGTCACTCCCCACACCCCTCTCTGCTGTCTCCCTTGGCAACAGGATAGTTAGTGCAGTCTGTTGCCAAACCTACCTCTCAAACTAGCCACTAAGTTCTAACTGCTGCAGCGTGTACGCATTTCTCAAATCTTTCCCTTCTTTCTCGTTCCATTAGCAGGTCTGTATATCTGCCTCTTGTGCTGGTACTGGGGCTTGAATTCAGGCTTCTTCATTTAAGGCTGGTGTTTTGCCATTCAGCTACATCCACTTCTGGCTTTTTGCTGGTTAATTGGAGATAAGAGTCTCATGGAGGGCTGGGAATGCGGCTTAGAGGTAGAGTGCCCTGGATTCAATTCCTCAGTACCACATAAACAGAAAAAGCTGAAAGTGGTGCTGTGTCTCAGGTGGTAGAGTGCTAGCCTTGAGCAAAAGCAGCTCAGGGACAGTGCCTAGGCCCTGAGTTCAAGCCCCAGAACTAAAAAAAAAAAAAAAAAAAGCCTCATAGATTTTTCTGCCAGCGCTTTTAACTGTGACCCTCTGATCTCGGCCTCCTGAGTGGCTAGAATTACAAGCACGAGACCAGTTCTCTCTCTCTCTCTCTTACAGCTTGCTGACAGATCTCTACCTATATCTGCTACATGATTGCAACTCTCTTTTTGTGGTACTAGGTACCTGCTTTCTAGGCTGGTGCACTACCATTTGAGCCATGCCCCCAGCCCTTTGAATTGTTTTGGGGATGAGTCTTATGTTTTTGCCCAGGGCCAGTCTGAGGACTATAATCCTCCTATCTATACCTTCCTCGTATTTCAGATTACAGACATTCATTGCTACACCTGATTTATTGGTTTAGATATTTTGAACCAAAGTTCAAAGATCTTGTTTCTGTTTTTGCCTGGGTGGGCATCAAACTATAATCCTTGGGCATCAAACTATGATCCTCTTGATGTCTGTCTGCCTAGTAGCTAGGATTATAGGTGTGAACTACCACCCTCAGCCCTTGCCAATAGCTTTCTGTATCACAATTCTGATCTTGATCTTCCCTTCCTCAGCAGATTTCAATAGCTCTCTATTGCCTGTGGCACAGCAGTGATCCACTCTGCTTTTAGAGGATCTGACCCCAACTATCACCTGCTTTCATTAAAGAGTATTTGACCTTCCAGCCCTGGCAACTACTTGTTGCTTGTCAAACATGCCACCTCTCTTAGGTTCCTGGTCTGTGCATAGACTTTGGTATCTGCCTGGACTACTTTTCCTCCTCTGCTGGTGGAGGGCTAGCATTCCATAAGTCCTATTTCTTTTCTTTCATATTTTTTTCTTTCTTTCTCTCTCCTCTCTTCCCTCCCTTCCTCCCCCCCACCCTTTCTTGTTTTTTGTTTTTTTTTTTTGGTCGTGGGACCTAAACTCTGGGCCTGTGTGCTGTCCCTCAGCTCTTCAGCTCAAGGCTAGTGCTCTACCACTTGAGCCACAGCTCCACTTCTGGTTTTCTGGTAGTTTATTAGAGATAAGAGTCTCACAGACTTTCCTGCCCTGGCTGGCTTTGAGCCATGATCCTCAGATTTCAGCCTCCTGAATAGCTAGGGTTATAGGCATGAGCCACTGGCACCCAGCAGTCCTATTTCTTCATGAAACCTTCATAAATTACCAAGCAGGCTTCACCCCTGGCTTACCAAGCCCCACATCATTTCACCTGGGGTTCTCAATCTTCCCCTCTTTTATTTGTGCTGGTCTTAGGGCTTGAACTCAGGGCCTTGGCACTTGGTTCCTGAGCCAAGGCTAGCACTCTACCACTTGAGCCACAGCTCCACTTCTGTTGTTTTTTGGGGGTAATTGGAGATGTCTCATGGGCTTTCCTACTTGAGCTGATAACCATGAGCCATCAATGTTCAGCTCCTTTCTTTCCTTTCTTTTTAGTGTTAAAGACAACCTAGGGCTTTGCGGATGCTGGGTAACCCCTGCCACTGAGCTGTACCCCTTCATTGTTTGAAGCAGGGTCTTCACTATAGAACCTAGGCTGTCTTCTGATTTCAGATTCTCCTTCTTTAGCCTGCTGGAATTACAGGTATGTATCATCATGCCCAACCCACCTCTAGGCTCTCATTTAAGTTCGAAGTTCTCAGATGTGCCTTTTTGACCTTTGCCTATGTAGATACCTCCTCACTGAGCCTTAAAAGTTGACTTCAGTGACTTTCTCTTCACCTCCTGGCTTCCCCAGGGCCCGCTTCGTTGCCCCTACTTGTCCTGCCATAAGCTTGCTCCTCTTTCGTCAAAGCACTGTTTGATTACCTCAACTCCTGGATTGCCTGATCCAGTGTGAGGGCTGAGACTCCTGATCTAGTCCTGGCTCTATCTCTGAGCTGAACACTGAAGCCTAACTAAAGTTTACTGACTGAATGTGCCTCACCAGACCGTGAGTTCCCAGGGAAGTGTCATTCATTTGTTAAGTGTGGCAGGGGAGGAAGCCAGCAAACCTTTGATAAATGAACATATGACATTATACATGAAATCTATCACATCTAACCCTTAAAGTCCCTAAGTGCCACAGCACTGTGGTTTAGCACAGCACGCCTGGAATTCCATCTTTTAAGATATTCCTGAAAGGATCCATATGGGCGTTGTTTTATTCCGAGGTTGGTAGTTGATCGTATTTCCTCAGCTTGTTGGGTGGAAAAACACCAATATCCTAAAAGTGTGCCATGAGCATCCTGGGAAGCAAAGGCTGGATCTTGAATTCTCTGGAATCTCAAAGCTCTTGAAGCTGTGGCACCAAACCTACCCACTTACCGCTTGAGAAGCCATCATTTCATTTATACTCTGTTCATACTGCTCGGCCAGAATGGCCAGTTTTCGCGTCTGCTCGTCTTTCAGTGTCTTTAAGATTGTTTTGTGCTCATTCTTTGGAGTGACTTCCAACTGGTGATTCTTGAGTGCTTTATACTGTTTGGTCTGTACTTTGCAAGTGTCCTGAAACTGTTTTTTAATTTGCATTTCCATGGCCTGTTAGAAAAAGTGACAGAGAGAAAATAAAGACCTGTCAGTCAACCTGGAATGATCTCTGTTTCATCAACCACACAGTTCCAGGACTGGAACCACCCAACTTTTGGTGTGGTGACCCACAGTGCCAGTCAGCAACCCAGGAAAATAACACAGACCACACAGACAAGAGTAGACTTTATCAGTGCTTTTGGTTTGATACAAAATGAGTAGTAGTGCTTTTGAATTTACAAGAGATTTTGAATTTATGATTCTGAGAGGATCATGGAATAGTATGAAGCTTATTAACTGGCTGGAAGTTACTTCCATGTTTTCCTACTCAAAGTGTTTATAATCATCACTATTGTTTTTCTTTGTGTGTATGTGTGCATGCACATGTCATTTCTTTGTTTCCAGGGCATTATATAAACCAGATCTCACTGTTGTAACTTACAATATTTCTTCCCCCCTACCCTTCTGGTACTAAGGACTTGCACTTACTTGGCTTACTCATAGCTGGTGATCTACCATATAAGCCAATTTCTGCCCAGGCTAACCTCAAACTAAGAGCCTTTGCATCTTGATCTCCTAAGTAGCTAGGATTACAGGTTTGTGCCACTGTTGCCTAGCTAATGTGTTTCCTTGACAAATCAATAAAGGGAAACCTGTGGATAATACCTTGCATCTCCACTGGCTTCCAGCATCAGTTGAGAGGGAAGGGGAATGTGGGTGTTTCCCCATTAAGAGGTGTACTCACACATGGCAATTCCAAATTTGCACTTTGGCATTATTATTATTATTTTTTTCTCGGTTGTGGGGCTTGAACTCAGAGCCTGGGCGCTGTCTGTGAGCTCTTTTGTTCAAGGCTAGTGCTCTACCACTTGGATCCACAGCTCTACATCCCCGTTTTTGAGTAGTTAATAGGAGATAAGAGTCTCACAGGGGCTTTTCTGCCCTGCCTGGCTTCCAACCACCATCCTCAGTCTCAGCCTCCTGAGTAGCTAGGATTACAGATGTGAGCCACTGGTAACTGGAGCACTTTGGCTTTATTAGGGCCAAAGTCACATGTGTATTTGGTGTATGGGTGATTGGGATCACTCATGAGACAGTTTGGGGTTCTGCACATGGCCATGTAATGGAGCATGGCCCCATGTCTGTGCCAGTGTGGCTGATGTCTTCCAGACACACAGTCTGCAGGGCTTGCTAACATGAGACTGTTAGAATTAGCTGGAGGCCAGTGGAGTTAGTGACAGCCAGCAGAGCTTCCCTTGGCAAGGTTATCTTCAGTGCAGGCAGCACAGGTCTGGCCTAGGTAGGGTCAAACCTCCTTTCCAGCCCATGACAGACCCTACCCATCAACCACACTCATTTCTTCCAAGTTCCAGCATATGGCACTCAAGTCAGCTACCTCATTTCCCTGCACTGGAACCCTAGACTCATACTGCTCCTCCCCCTTTATCTAGTATTGAGGTTTGAACTCAAGGCCTGTGCTTGTTAGGCAGGCAGTCTCTTTCTTTCTTTCTTTTTTTGGGTCCAGTCATGGGGCCTGAACTCTGGGCCTGGGCGCTGTCCCTCAGCTCTTCAGCTCAAGGCTAGCGCTCTACCACTTGAGCCACAGTGCCACTTCCAGCTTTTTTCTTTTTGCTTATGTGGTTTTGAGGAATCGAACCCAGGGCCTCAGGCATGCAAGGCAAGCGCTCTACTGCTGAGCCACTTTCCCAGCCCAGGCAAGTACTCTATTTCTTAAGCCATGCCCCCAGCTTATTTATTTATTTATTCCCAAGGTAGGGTCTTGATTTATGCCCTGCTCAGGCTGGACTGTGATCCTCCTACTTTTGCTTCCCAATGTTGCTTGGGATGACAGGGTAGGCTACCACATCCAGCCATTGTACATCCCCCTTAGCCAGGATAATAGGTGTGTGCCAGAGCATCCAGCTATGCGACTTGTGGAACTTGGAGATGGGTCTTGTGAATTTTTATTTTTTGGCCTGGGTTGGCCTTGAACTTTGCTCCTCAATCTCTTCTTCCAAATGATCTAGGATTATAGGCTTAAGCCACTGTGTCCAGCCTACTCATCCACTTTGAAAGAGGGCTGGTCCTGAAAGGCTCAGAGAAATGACTAATGGAATAAAAGGGAAACGGAGATCTCACATGGCAGTGTTCCAGGGCTTGTGGAACACAGACCCTTGGGCTTTGCAACCAGAGACACAGGGCCGTGGGAAATACACGATTCTGAGCAGCTGGCTGACAATCTCCAGGTTCAGTGATAACCACATCTGGTCTGGCCCCACTCCATTCTGGACATCACAAGTACGACGTGCTTCTGTGAACTCTCTTCTCACCTTTAAGTTTTTTGGCTGCTGCCGAAGTTCCATGACATGCTTCCTGTGCAGCTCCCTCTCTCGCCTCTTATTGTACTCCAGCTGGTTCTCCAGTTCAGTCTGGTGCTGCAAACGGATCAGATCCATGCGGAGCTTCTGTAGCGTGTGCAGCTGCCGGTACTCCAGCTCCCGGGTAGACTCGTCATGCCGGATCAGCATGGCGTGCTCCATCTCCTTCTGCGTCCTCTTCTTGTTGAGTTCCTGTATCAGGAACAAAAGCAGAAAGCAGAGATGAATGAGGGGGAACTGGGAGGAACATACTGCTCATGGATGGGTGGCTCTCTCTCCATCAAAGCATGACAGAGACTTGATTAACCATCCATCCCTGGAGCTTTAGGCCCACTGTTTACAAGCAGTCACAACTGTGTGGTCTGTAAAATGGGATGCTGATACCCCCCTCATTGGCGTTCCCCCCCCCCCCCCCGTACAGATCTGCTGTGACCCTGTGTTAGGTGCTGTGCTGTGCTTGGGTCTAAAGAAAAATTTCTTCAATTTAACTGGTATCTCTCCCCCGTGCTTGCCATTAAAGTCACGTGAATAAGCCATTCAGATGTAAGAAGCTTATATCCACAACATAGTAATTGTCTGGAGCAGGATCTTGGGGTCAGTTTTAGCTTGATCCAGTTCAAATAAACTACAGTGAACACCCAAGCAAAAGAATATTGATTAAAATAAAGAAATAATTTTAATAAGCAGATTTAGAAGGCAAGACAGCAAGGTGGGAGGTGCTAAGATCTCATGTGCTACTGCAGGAATGTCTAAACACGATTTGGATTTGTTTCAAGGGATAAAAGACAGTACCCTAGAGCTTCCCCCATCTCCTGACCCCTCCCCCCCAACCAGTTTTATTCTCCTGGTCCACCATCTTTCTTCTGTAAGAGATCAGCAAGTGGCCCCTAGATGGCACCAAAGGGAAGTAAGCCCTTCTAGCCAACTTCTGCTCTCCAAGCCCAGAACCAAGAGAGCCAAGGAAGCTGGGCACCTGTAATCCTAGCTACTCAGAGGCTGAGATCTGAAGTTCGAGGTTTGAAGTCAGCCAGGCTCTACTCTTATCTCCAATTAATCACCAAAAAGTCAGAGATGGAGCTGTGGCTTTGAGCCCAAAAGCTCAGGGATAGAACCCAGGCCCTGAGTTTAAGCCCCATGGCAGGCAAGAAAGAAAGAAAAGAAAGAAAGAAAGAAAGAAGGAAGGAAGGAAGGAAAGAAAAAGAAAGAAAGAAAGAAAGAAAGAAAGAAAGAAAGAAAGAAAGTCAAGGAAAAGTGAGTAAGGAAGGAACCTGCTCCCGGACCCTGGCAGCATTACACCTGACAGTGGAGTGGGCATTCCTCCACCTCCACTCTCCTAAGCTGACAGGTCCAAGCTGAGTCCAGGTTGCCTACAGCCCTGAAACTCAAGAAACTCATTGGGGGAAAGAGGATACAAGACATAGTGAACCCCTTTAGGGAAGCAAGGGCTTTAATCATGTTTAATGGAATGACGCAGGATACAAATGAACATCTGAATCAGAATGGCCAGGTCAGAAGACATTCACAACGAACTCACCAGCTTCTTCTACATGAGGTAAAGTTTGAGGACTCTCAGACAAAAGCTCAGGGGTGTCTGTTACTATCAGCTTCTCCCCTACTCTTAACCTGGGCTTTGGGCACTTCCTTGTCTACAGATTTGCTACTTCCGTAATGAACATGTGGGGAAGGTAAGTGAAAGGTAACAAGAACATACTTTGGAATATATTCATATGTTCTTATTTTCCTGTATTTGGAAATGAATATCTAGAATACAGTATCTTCAATGTGGTTATGATTAGTTATCCAGGGAGAGAGAAATGTGACACTAAAATTGTTTTTCTGTTACAATCTGTAGGTTGTTTCCTTTATCTCCAGTTTGTATATCTGAGTTGCTGAGCTGTAAGATGATTAGGCTGCCTAAACTATTTTAAAACATGGGAAAAATATTATTCACCTTATTAGGAGTCCAGTACTGTGCCTACTTCATAATCTCAGCCTCCTAAGTAGCTAGGATTACAAGCATAAGCCACCAGCACCTGGCTCAACTGCATTTTCTTGAGACCCAGATCTCTGTGTTACCCAGGCTGGTTTCAAATTTCTGGGCCCAAGAGATTCTCCTGCCTCAGTCTTTAGAGTAGCTGGAACTACAGGTGTATAACACCATACCTGGCTCTCATTAAAAAAAAAAAGTATTTCACATATCTCATGCAATACTAGTGGCAGCTCTGTGAGGTGGAAATCTTGAAGAGATTTTTTTTACACGTGGGGAGAAGGCATTTGGGAACCAAGGGACTATGGTAAGGTCATATGACTTCCATAAAACAGGAACAAAGCTAAAACTTGGGTTAAGTTTTCAATGAAAAGATATTCTGATATTTTCCTGCTTAAACTTTTTTTATTTTTATTTTTTTTTTGGGGTCCGGTCATAGAGCCTGAACTCTGGGCCTGGGCACTGTCCCTCAGCTCTTCAGCTCAAGGCTAGCGCTCTACCACTTGAGCCACAGCGCCACTTCCGGCTTTTTTCTTTTTGCTTATGTGGTGCTGAGGAATCGAACCCAGGGCCTCAAGCATGCAAGGCAAGTGCTCTACCACTGAGCCACCTTCCAAGCCCTTAAACTTTTTTTGGTGTGAGAAAAAAATGTTGAAGAATTCCTCTGCTCTAGCTACACGAGATGCAATGGCTGGGTTATCTGTACAGATGACATAATCTATATATACAAGAGCCATGTGTGCCTTTAGCTCGGACAGTCCTCAAACAGAGCTGGGCAGAAATGAAAGAAAATGGAGATCCAGCTCAGCAACACACTAAGGCCTGTCTGTTGTGAGGGATGATAGGCTGGAATGGGTTGTTCCCTTTCCCTAGCCCCTACCCCACTGTGATATCTCTGCAGGTGAGTGTGAGCTTGGGGCTGAAGCTTATGAGCTTTTCACACAAAATGGTCCGGAGACAGGCACTACCACACATCCTGTGAGTCTACTTCCTGGATAAGATGTGGCTTTGGTGTGCATTCCCTACCTTTTCTTCCTGCAGTTGTTCAATGTATTTTCAGTTCTAGTACAAATTGGCTTCATTGATTTATTGGGCAGCTGGGGTTTGAATTCAGGGCCTGGGTGCTAGGCAGGTGCTCTACCACTTCAATCATGCCTCTAGCCCTTTTTGCTTTATTTCCTTATTTTTTGTTGGTTGTGGGGCTTGAACTCAGGGCCTGGGTGCTGTCCCTGAGGTCTTTTGCTCAAGGCTAGTGCTGTACTACTTTGAACCACGGTGCGACTTCCAGTTTTTGAGTGGTTAATTGGAGATCAGAGTCTCACAGGGACTTTTCTGCCTGGGCTGACTTCCAACTGTGATCCTCAGATCTCAGCTTCCTGAGTGCTAGGATTACAGTCATGAGCCATCAGTGCCTACCTTTTTTTTAAAGATACTTTTGCTTTAGTTTTACTCAAGATTGGCCTTATGCCAGACCAAAATCTTCCTATGTCCACTACTGACACAGCAGGGATTATGGATAGGCATCTTTATTGAATTTTTTTTTTAGAGGGAGGGGGGAGGGGTCTGAGTTTGTCCAATCTCTGCCTCCTCTGTAGCTGGTCAGGCATGAGCCACCACATGCAGCCTTGGTATCTTTACTTGCAGCTGAGCAAAAACTAGACTTCGGCTCTTTTCCTTTTTATGGTGCTGGAATTCCCAGCACCATGAGACTCAGAGAGGGCCTTGCTAGGTTTCCTAAACTGGCCTCCAACACAGCTGGGATTACAGGCTCAGCTTGTAGGGGAGCTGCTGTCATCCTGTGATAGTTGATGCTGTCTAGGTTTTCTTCTTCATCTCAGTGACTGGGCTAAGGTGGGACTATGTGTGTGTGGTAGTGAGAAAGGCTGATTCCCTGCCCCCTCCCACAGCTCCTTCCCAGTCTATGGTGAACCTTTATACGTGTTTTCATGAGCTAAAGGGACTGCTGATACAGAATTTAGGGGTAGATATGGGAAAAGAAGCATCTTGGGTGGAAGTCAAAACCCTCTTAGAGGACAATTTGCAGTGCTGGGATTTGAACCCATGGCCCTGTAAATGCCAGGCAAGTGCTTGACTTCTGAGATACCCTGATAGCCCTGGTGATATTTAAAACTTGGAAAACCAGGTAGTTTTCACACAACTCTTTGGCCTAGAAATTTCACTGCAGAGACATCCTGCACAAATACTTGTGTATGATTTATTTTATTACTGATTTATTTCTATGGTGCTGGGGATGGAACCTCGTGCACGCTAGGCAAGAGCTCACCCACAGCCTCTAAAAATACTTACATTCAGAGATGTTCTCTGTGGCAACGTTGGTGATACTGTAACATGTCAACAAAATGCCCAGCACAAAGTGCCTCATTAAACACGTGATTACACAAAACACTCTGAGGTTGTAAGATCAGTGTGTGTGGGGGGGTGTTGTTTGTCCTGCATAGTGAATGGAGTAAAGAAACAAGACCATGTGGTGGAGGTCTGCACTCTGTCAGGCTGAGCATCCACCTTCCCTTCTGTTTATCCTCTACTTTTGGCTTCATGTTACCCAATCAACTCTGTCTCCCAGGATTCTGAATCTTGTACAGAAATGCTACAGAGATGAGTAGTGTTGGAGACACAATGCCCTGGGGAGCGTGTGTCTGTTCTTGCCCTTGCCCTTGCCTCAGCAGGTGCTTTTCTGGGATGGCTCTCCATCTCTTCTGGCTCTGGTCTTCAGCTCTGTCACCTGCCCCATGGTCTTGTGGTAAATTCTTTTCCATGTTTAAGTCAGCCAGAGTTTTGTTTCTAATGCTTGCAAATCCAGTAACCCCACTGATACAAAAGAAATCTCATTTTGAAAAAGTTATAAGCTGTACAGATGAGGCCGGGTGGAATGAAATGATCAGGAAAAGGAAATGAGGAGATGTTGGTCAAATAGTACAGAATTTCCCTTATGCAAGATAATCTTGAGATATAATGTATAACCTTATGACAGTAGTTAATAACACTTGCAGTTTGCTAAGAGGATGAATTTTAAATTAAATCTTCCTCACACATGCACATGTACTTACATGTAGCAACAATGTAGAGTTTAATTAGTTTGAATATAGGGAACATTTTACAATATATACCTACATGAAAGCATCAAAATTTCTACCTTAAATATGTATGATTTTTATAATATCAACAATATCTCAACAAAGCTATTGAAAAATATTAGTGTATTTTTTACTTTTCTGTATTTATCTCTTTTCAAAGTTCTTTTAAAAATTATTTTTTCATTTTATTTTTGTTGGTCGTGGGGCTTGAACTCTGGGCCCGGGCGCTGTCCCTCAGCTTTTCAGCTCAAGGCTAGTGCTCTACCACTTGAACCACAGCACCACTTCCAGTTTTCTGGTGGTTTACTGGAGATCAGAGTCTCACGGACTTTTCTGCCTGGGCTGGCTTTGAACCACAATCCACAGATCTCAGCCTCCTGAGTAGCTAGGATTACAGGCGTGAGCCACCAGCACCTGGCTAAAAAGTATTATTATTATTATTATTTTGTCCGTCATGGGGCTTGAACTCTGGGCCTGGGTGCTGTCCCTCAGCTCCTCAGGGTCTTTCCTGCCCAGGCTGACTTTGAACCGTGATCATCAGATCTCAGCCTCCTGAAATGCTAGGATTACAGGTATGATCCACCAGCGCCCAGCCTAAAAATTATTTTTGTAAGTAGAAAAACTGTACATTTTCATGAAAGTTTCTCTTATTCTGCACTCAAGAAAAACACTCCTATAGAGTTGGCTTAGCTAAGCTGGTTAATACCTAGCATGTAAGGAGTTACACATGAAATTACCATCACTTTGGGGAACAACAATCATCTAGAATTGCTAGATTACAGGCATGAACCATCATAGTCTGGTTTGTTTTTCCTTTCTACAAGATGAGATAACACATAAGTCTGGCCTAGAATTCTGTGGGTTGCCTAGAAATTTTAGATTTTCCTAACTGAATATGGTTCTCTGAGCTATGTATGTGGTTTACTCCTGTGATCCAAGCACTCAGGAAGCTGAGGCAGGAGAACTGAGAAGTTCCAGGTCAGCCTGCACTACCTAATGAGACCTCATGCCAGAAAAAAAAAATCAGTCTGTCCTTGAACTTATAATCTTCCTGGCTCAGCCTCCTGAGTAGAAGTAATTTTTGACTCCTTTTAAAATTCCTCCATGTATCTAGTCAGCGTTACTAAGGATTTTGCCTCAGAAATATTACTCCAAGACCAGGCATGGTGACTATGCCTGTTATGCTAGCTACACAGGGGGCAGAGATCAGGAGGACTGAGGTTTATGTCTCAAGTTAGTGAGATGCCATCTGACAAGTTATCGAGATGCCAGATATGGTGGCTCACACCTGTGCTCCCAGCTCTGTAGGAGCCTGTAAGCGGCCCTGAGCAAAAATGAGAGACCCTATCAAAAGAATAGATAACCTAAAGCCAGGCACAAGTGGCTCATGCCTATAATCCTAGCCTATAATCCTAGCTACTCAGGAGGCTCACCGTTTGAAGCTAACTTGCACAGGAAAGTCTTGTAAGATTCAACCACAGGAAGTAAAGCTGTGGCTCAAGTGGTACAGTGTCAGTCCTTGAGCAAAAAAACTCAAGGACAGTGCCCAGGTCCTGAGATCAAGCCCCGGGACCAGCGCTAAAAAAGAAAAATACTAAACAAACAAAAAAAAATTAAAGCAAAAAGGGCTGGAGGAATGGTTCAAGCAGTAGCGTAGCAGTCTAGCAGGCACGTGGCATATGATAATACCTTTGTGTTGACAGGAAGAGCATTCCAGCAGGCCTCCTGCTTCTTACCTTTCCAGCATGGCTCATACTGGTATACTAACTCTTCCAAGCACAGCCAGATCTCATCAGGTCTCCCCTGATTAAAAGCTTCAGATGGCTGTGGCTGCCTTTGAGCTACAACCTAAATGCCTTCCTTTAAACAAGGCCTTGAATGCTACTCCTGGAGGTACTTCTAGCTCCTTTCCAGATACCCAGAACTCTGGCGACCTTGGACTCAGCCCTGAGTCCTCCAAATGTTGCCATGACTATATGCATGTCATGGTTTATATGTCCATTACTAAACCCAGAACACTGGGTTATAACTAATCTGCTACACATTTCCCCTCCTGACTCAGGGCCTCTTGGAGGCAGAGAATAAAAGGCACCATGGCCTTGGCATCTACCTCTGTGAATGCCAGATAACTGGTTGAATGAACTTAATTTGAAATGATTTTGAGCACCATACAAAACTCCAAGTCCTCAACCAGCAGACACAGAGTAAAGCCCTCTATTCTACCCCTTTTGATTCTTCACTATGTCATACGCAGTGGAGAGATAATAGATGTTCATTAAAATTCTTTGATGTCTTTAGAAAAAGCTTATGTTCTGTTCTGCAATTAAGTTTTCTCTTACCAACGGTAAATTAGGTATCTGATATGTTTTGTGTACCTATTGTGTGTCAGGCATTGTGCTAAAGACTAAGGATGAAGAAATACGGCATACAGACAAGGTCATGACCCTCCCATAGCTCAATGTCTCCTGAGCCAGAGACAGTGACTTAGAACCGAACATACCTCCCGAATGTTCTGCTGCTCCACCTCATGCCGCTTGATCATAATTTTCCGCTTGAAGAAACGACAGTGTTTGTCATAGTACAGTCTCTGCTGGGTGAGAAGGTGGGCTTCCTCTTCAGCCTGTGTGTGCTGCAGGTTCTCTTTATGCTTGGAGATCCGTTCTTGCTTTTCTTTCTTGGGTGTGCTATGGTCCTCATTCATTTCCTTGGAAAAAACAACAAACCCAGGCAGTGATCAGAGGAGGTAGAATATAAATCTACAGTGAAAGGAAGAAGATAACCTTTATAGAAAATGGGTTGGGCTTACTCTTCTGTGTTCTACCGACTAGCTTGGTCTACATTTGGTTAACTACTTGCACAGTTGAAATCTCCTAATGGATGACATCCATATTACTTAAGGTTTTACCACGTGACATCTCACGATATTTCAGTTATCTCTGCCCTTCCAGGAAGTCCTTATGTGTAAATTCTCTCCTGTCATGTTCCATGAGGTCTTGAAGGAAGCCTTCAGGCCATCCAGGAAATGTTGTTTCCAGCAGGAGGAAGGTTGGGATCATAGGAAGAAGTCAGGTGACTCCTCTGCTCAGGCCTTGACCTCAGCTTCAACATTAGTCACCTAGCTTGCAAGTCTAGACTTATGGGACCATAAAAATGTATTCCGAAATCAAGAATCAGTGATTTCCGGACATGTGCCATTTTGTTTCGTCCATATCCCTGTGTTCTTTCAACAGCTGAGATAGGGAGACTTTGATCATTCTAAGAATTCTATGTCTAAATATTTATGCCAAATCAAGTTTTACTTTATGAGGAGTTATAGGAGTTTTGCACAGAAAGCTCTGAGATTTCTCAAATTGGCTTTCATCTTGCTTTTTCTCAGAGTATCTTGAAAGAATTAGAAGTGAAGGCCTGTGGTCTCTTACACATATCCATCAGAATCTGGAAAACCAAAAGGAGCCTGAGGACTAAGTGAGAACTCTTTGAAAAACAAAAATACTTGGTGGTATTGGGATTTGAACTCAGGGCCTCATGCTTGCTAGGTCCACATCATCCTGCTAAGTCATCGCTCCAATTCGTTTTTCACTGGTTGCTTTTAGGATGGGATCTCACTTCCCATCTGGGTATGCTTCTTTGACTTGATATGTCTACTTTTAGACTTCTCATTGTTTCTGGGATGAGAGGCAGGTGCCACCACACCCAGCTTCCCTTCAGTAGAGTCTCAGGGACTTTTCTGCTTGGGCTGGCCAGGCAGCACAATCCTTCTAGGCTCAGCCTCCCATGTAGTGTGGGCTGACAGGCATGTGCCATTGTGTCCAGCTATAAATTGAGAAGTCTCCAGAACTTTTCTTCCCTGGTACCAATCTTAGCCTCCCATGTGGCTAGGATTAGAGGTGTGAGCCACCTATGCCTGGCCTGAGTGGGAACTCTAGAATTCTGTTCACTAGGAGAATCTTCTAAAGGTAGATTCTAAATACTTCCTAAATATTTCATGTAACCCTATTATCCTAGTGTTACAAAAGCTCAAAATGGATGCCACATTCATACAGTGTGTTGTATAGAAATAAGAAGGTAAGAAGAGCTAAGAAAAATGACATTTCTTATTGAAAAATCAATTTGATTTCTGTCATCCAACAGCATCCTCTGGCAATACTATAAGAATTTGCCTCAAGTCAATCACTAAGAAAAAACACGGAACTATTCCTCTCCACTCTCTAGTTTCCTGGACCTTACAGCATCAGAGACTGCCCATTCAGCCAGTGTGAATCAACCACAATTGTATGTCCAGCCTAGCAATTACAGTGGCTTACCTGGGTAGGCAAGAGATCCCTGGGCCCAAGGCTACCCCAACCCACTTGCTCTCACTCCCTAATTAATTGAAGAGGAATCATGTAGTGTTAACTTACAAATCAGAATATGACCTCCATATTTCATATACTAAGGCAGTGGCACTATTGAATCTTATTAAACCTTAATACACTTAGTAAGTCTACAATAAGAACTCCTGAGTCTTCTAAGAAGAAAAGTCCACAGAACTGCACCCAATTCTCCTGTAAGTGCTAGGAAAGGAGACCTGAAGGAATCTGAGCGTTCAGATGAAATGGTACTTCCTCAAGGAAACTCTTGAAGTCCTCCAATGGTCTTCAACCAGACATTCATTCCAGTACCATATTTACATGCACTGCACACAGGGATACAGTCAGGCGCCAAACCAGTCATGGTCTCAGCTCTTACAATGCTCAGCAGCTGATAGTCAGTAGCTCAAACCATCATTCAAAAAATAAAAACACCGTTATGAAACCAGAGACACCTGTCCTGCTTGATACATTTAGGAGAGCTCTCTTGGGGGAGTCATATTGAGTCAAAGTCCTCGTAATCCATGCTTAGTCCTACAAGAAGGAGGAGGAGGAGCTAACTGAGTGGAACTGAGAAGGGCTTGAGGGCAGGGAGGCAACCTGGTGGAAGTGGTTGTATGTGCAGGGGGGCGCTTGGTACATCTGAGAAACTGAAAGGTAACCACTGTGGCTGGAATAGCCAAGAGCAAGAACTAAGAGTAAGGGAAGCACTGGTGTGACGCGCCAGAGGAAGGGTAGGCTGATTGTAGGTCATGTCAGATTTCTGACAGTTTGAGCTGCTCTAAGAGCAATTGGAAGCTACTGGATCTGAAAACAATGGAGTAAAAATAACTAGATTTATGGTTTGAAAAGATTACTCTGGGCCAGCCAAGATGGCACATGTCTATAATCAAAGCTAAGCAGGGGGCTGAGATTTGGGAGGATTGTGGAGGTCAGCTCAAGCAAAAAGTTAGCAAGACCTCATCTCAGCCAGGATCTAGTATGATAATACACACCTGTGATCCCAGTCATCCAGGAGGTATAGATAGGAGTGTCTTGGTTCAAGAGCAGACCAGGCAAAAACTCCAGACCCAACCAAAAAAGCAACTAAAGCAAAAAAGGGCTGAAGGTAAGTGGCTCAAGTGGAAAAGAGCACTGTTAGTGAGCAAAAGGACCTGAGTTAAAGTCCTAGTATTCCAGAAAAAAATTTTTTTTCCTGACTCTCTGGCTGAAGTGTAGAGAATAAGCTAGAAGTAGGAAGAGTGTGTGAGTCTTTAAAAGTGGCTCCTGGAATAATAGCAGCAGATATTACATAGGAACTTGTTAGAGATGCGTGACCTCTGCGTGGGTTAGAGGGCTGGCTTAGCAGTTTGCTTTCATAAACATTTCTGGTGATTTAATGGGAAGCTGAGAAGTGCTGGATTGGAATTTTCATCCTGAGGTAAGGTGAGGCATTTCTCAGTCTCCACCATTCTAGTGACAACCTAGAGCCACACACCCCCATGGTGGTACCCTTACCTCTTTTATTTTTTCCTTGCAAATCTTATACTGCTTCTTCTGACTTTCTAAGAAAGTTGTCAAGTCTTTCTTCTGCTGGGCCAAGATCTGTTGCTGGAACTTCTTCTCATCTGCTGCAGCTACCTTTGCCTGGAGAGACAACAGACATGACGGAGTGAATCTGGCTTCCACCCCATGCACGTCTTGAGTGAAGGCCACAGTCCCCAAGTGCTGAGCCATGCCAGCTTTTCAACAAATAACAGTAATATGAAAGACATCTATTGTCCGGGTCTTGTATGTCTTAAAAGAAATGTCATTCTGCCGGGTGCCGGTGGCTCATGTCTGTAATCCTAGCTACTCAGGAGGCTGAGATCTGAGGATCACGGTTCAAAGCCAGCCCGGGCAGGAAAAGTCTGTGAGACTCTTACCTTCAATAAACCACTAGAAAACCAGAAGTGGCCCTGTGGCTCAAGGGGTAGAGTGCTCGCCTTGAGCTGAAGAGCGCAGGGACAGCGCCCAGGCCCAGAGTTCAAGCCCCATGACCGACAAAAAAAATAAAAATAAATAAAAAAAATAAAGAAAGAAAAAAAAGAAATGCCATTCTGGGGCTAGGAAGGTGACTCAGTGGTAGAGTTCTTGCCTTAGCATGCATGAGGCCCTGGGTTTGATTCTTTAGCACCATATAAGCAGAAAAAGCCAAAAGTAGCACTGTGGCTCAAGTGGTAGAGCACTACCCACCCCCCTCAAAAAAAAGGAATGTCATTCCCAATTATGGAAAAAAAATTAGGAAGGTGGACTACAAACATATATTATTAAGCACAACAAACAAAACATATTTTATTGATTTGATGTTTCCTTCCAGGTGGAGAAAGACAGCTTAGTTCCCAAGACACCCTGGTGCCATGGCTCTACTCATTCCACTCCCAGGGAGCAGCATGTACTCCTGCTTTTCCACACTTGGTCAGTGTCATGGGACGACAGGGAAGGTCACTTGATAAGAACTTGTGGCTGGGTAAGTCTGTTGAGCCGTGATTAGTGTGACTAAATTGTCTTTAATATTGGACACGTACCAGTTGTGACAATGATATTTCAAGTTATTCTTTTTTTTATTCTCCTGATAGTAGGGTTTGAACTCAGGGCCTCACACTTTTTCAGCTGGTACTGTACCACTTGAACCATGTCTCCATCCATACTTTTTGCTGGTTTGGAAATGGAGGTTCATCATAGACTTTTCTGTCTATGTTGGCTTGGAACCTTGATTCTTTGTATCTCACCTCCTGAGTAGCTGGGACTACAGGTGTGAGCTGGCACCTGGCTTGTCTTAGTCTGTTTTAAAAATTAAATTTCCGGGGCTCAGACTGTAGTCAAGAAATGGAGTGCATGTTTAATATGTATGAGGCCCTGACTCTTAGCACCAACTAAGGTAATAAACTAAAAACTAAGTTGGCTTAGAATGTGGAGAAGGAAGAGAGCTACTTCCTAGACATCACAAATCATGGTTGGATTAATCCTTTGTTATATTGGGAAGGTGACCAATCAGGCAGGGACCATCTCACTAAAAGGACAAACTATGGGCATGGTAGGAAGAAGACTAGACCTTTTTGTTTCTCAGAAGACAGGAGCCTCCTGTTTCCTTCACTGGTACCCAGAACACCATGAAGGGAGTGATGTTCAGAATATATTTACAAAGGTTTTACCTTTTATAGCCACTCAGCAATAACACCCGTCTCTCACCTGTGGGAAGCCCATTCCTGTCCCAAGCAGGAACTACCACTGACTGTGGCCAGGCTGGCTTGGTTGTGGCTACTGACGCAGTGTACTTGCGCATACTGACCTCCTTTTCTATGATAGCCACTTGCTTCTTGGCCAGCTTCTCCAGCTCGATGGACGAGTTGTTGGCATGCGTCTCCACCTCCTTCTGGAGTTTGAGGCGGTGCTCGTCCATCTCAGCCTTCAGCTTGTTCTCCAGGGCGATCAGCTGCTTCTGGTGCTGGCGCCGCATCCGCTTATAACCTGACATCTGTTCCCGTAACTCGTTCTCCTGCTCATGCTCATGGATCTGCCGTGTAACCTGCCATGGGTTGGGGACAGCACTCAGGTCATTGGGTCACCAGAGACCAACTTTTGGGTGAAGCCACACCCCAGAATTTATCACTGTCACTAGGCATTTCCTGTCTACCCACTGCTCCCTTGTAGGGACACCAGGCTGGGCTCTTTCTGTACTTACTCTCTCCTCAAAGCCACCCCATTCTCTTTTTCATTTGACACTCTCACAGGTAGGTGTTACTGCTCCATTGAAAATAAACTTGAAACAAAGGAGGAGGTAACAATGCATGGGAAATGTACTCATGACCTTACTCATGTAACTGTAACCCCTCTGTACAGTATCTTTACAATAAAAAAAAAAATATATATATATTAAAAGAAAAAAAGAAAGTAAACTTGAGACACGAGGGAGGTAGTTTATTTATTTAGCCAAAGCATGCATGCACGCATGTACACTCAGACACATACTCAGACACGATCCAGGTTACATGACTGATAAGGAGGAGCCTTGGGATCCAGGATATTTCCACCACAACAGGGTTGTGTGCACCCCTGATGACAATGCGTTACCTGTATACCACATGCCACTAGCATCCCCTGGACTCTGCCTTCCAAGAAGCCTCTTGGTTCCCTTTTCCTTCATGGTGCTCAGTCCATATCCAGGAAGTGATGTGCCCAATATATTGCAATGGACCTCGACGACAATTTGACCTTCAAGTGACAATTTGATCTAAATAGCCCTGCTCCCAACAATAACATTCCTCCCTCACCTGTAGCCAGCTCCCCAGTCTTTGCTCCTCTGGAAGCTGTCACTATCATGACCATCAAGTGTCTTCTGGTGTCTGCTGTGATACTGGCAAAATCTCTCCAGATGAGATACCTTTTTTTTATATATAAAAAGATCATGCCTCTAATAGTCATAGGAACCTTGAAGATTCTTTTAAAATAGTTTGAGTATGATTTATTCCCTATTCTTATGATAGGAGAGAAGGAGAAAGAGACAGACAGACAAGTAGATACATACAGACACCTTTTGAAATGTTATATTCTGGCAGTACTGGAGTTTATACTTTGAGCTTCACATTTTCCAGGTAGACACTCTACTACTTTAGTCACAACCCTCACCCTTTTTTTTTTTTTTTTGGATCCGGTCGTGGGGCCTGAACTCTGGGCCTGGGCGCTGTCCCTCAGCTCTTCAGCTCAAGGCTAGTGCTCTACCACTTGAGCCACAGCGCCACCTCCGGCTTTTTTCTTTTTGCTTATGTGGTGCTGAGGAATCGAACCCAGGGCCTCAAGCATGCAAGGCAAGCGCTCTACCACTAAGCCACCTTCCCAGCCCACCCTTTTTTTTTTTTATTGGTCTAATTTTCAGATAGTGTCTCACAGTTTTTACCTAGGGCTGGCCTCAGATCACAATCCTCCTACCTATGTCTCATGCATAGCTAGGATTGCAGACACAAATCACCCCCTATGGCTTTTTTGCTGAGATGGGACTCTTATTTAACATTTTCCCTAGGCTATCCTTGAACCTAAGTCTTCCCAATCTCTGCCTCCTGAGTAGCTGGGATTACAGGTGTGAGCCACCATACCCAGAGAGAGACCCTCTCTGAAAACATCTCTCTCTCCCTCCCTTTTCCCACAAGAAGAAACGTTAACAAAATTATTTTAATTTTCTTCCCCGAAAGGTTAAGGCATTTCTATCATTTTTGGATGGCTACTTTTCCTGAATTCACTGTCAAGTAAATGTCCAACCAGCTGAAGAGTGCAAAGGAAATCTTGAAATCTTGGTGCCTTTTGTCTCTTCTTTGAACCTCTCATGATTTTCTACTTCTTCCATTTATCACCCCTCTTTACCTTCTGGATCTATTCACCTCTCCTTTCCTTTTCAATCTTCCTATATGGTTTAGAAAAATACACTTAATTCCAGGACTATAATTTTAGCTTTGTTCTTCTCTATGTGATTTGTGCACCTGCACTGGTTCACGGGGCACTTTTCCCTAACCTCACCCCTAAACAAGTTTTACTGGAAATTTTCATGCTGCTACTTTCAGTTTATGGGTCAAGGTATGTTTAATACAAAGAACAGGTTGTTTCTCTGCTCTCTTTGGAAGGTGTCTCTGAACACTAGACAGAGTCCTGTCTGCCAAGAGAGGGCAGCTCTGTAACCAAGTAGCATAATAGCAGTATGCCATTAAACATTAGCCGAACTTTGAAATTCTTCCAGCTGAAATAAACCGTAGATTTCATATCCATCTCTCTTTTCTGAAGGATAACACTCTTGAAAGTATGAAGAAGAGCAGAAGATACTTTAAGAGTGTAAAAGAACAGCATCACTAAAGAACCTCTAATACTTAAGAAAATGAACAATCATGGGCTGGGAAGTTGGCTCAGTGGTAGAGTGCTTGCCTCGCATGCATGAGGCCCTAGGTTCAATTCCTCAGCACCACATAAGCAGAAAAAAGCCGGAAGTGGCGTTGTGGCTCAAGTGGTAGAGTGTTAGCCTTGAGCTGAAGAGCTGAGGGACAGGGCCCAGGCCCAGAGTTCAGCCCCCATGACCGGATTCCCCCCCCCCCCCCCAAAAAAAAAAGAAAAGAAAAAAAGAAAATGAACAATCGATTTCATCACCTCATTCATTCATTCCTTTCTTGGGTGTTGGCAACTGAACCTAGGGCCTCCTATATGCTAACCATGTGCGTTACCTCTAACCTACATGTCTGGCCTTGCTGTTTTTTTTTTTTTTTTTTTTTGCCAGTCATGGGGCTTGAACTCTGGGCTTGGGCTCTGTCCCTCAGCTCTTCAGCTCAAGGTGAGCACTCTACCATTTGAGTCACAGCATCACTTCCAGTTTTCTGGTGGTTTATTGGAGATAAGAGTCACGGACTTTCCTGTCCAGGCTGGGTTTGAACCTCAATCCTCAGATTTCAGCCTCCTGAGTAGCTAGGATTACAGGCGTGAGCCACCAGCGCTCGGTGCCTTGCTGTTGTTATTAATACCGGTTTTTGTTTGTTTTTTTTTTTGAGACAGGGTCTAGTTTCTTGATCGCTGAGATTATAGCCATGTACCACTACTCTAATTCTATATTAACATTATTATTTTGTGCTGCTAGGGATGGAACTCAGGGCCTTGAACATGCTAGATAAGTGCTCTACCACTTGAGTTATACATCAATCCATCCATCCATCTATCTATCTATCTATCTATCTATCTATCTATCTATCTATCTATCTATCTATCTATCTATCTATCTATCTATCTATCTATCTATCTATCCATCCATCCATCCATCCATCCATCCATCCATCCATCCATCCATCCATCCATCCATCCATCCATCCATCTATCTATGCAGGTCCTGGGGCTTAAACCCTAGACCTGTGTACTGTTCCTTAGCTTTTGTGCTCAAGGCTAGTGCTCTACCACTTGAATCATAGCTCCATTTCTGGCTTTTTTTTAGTAGTTTAGTAGAGATGAGAGTCTCACAGGCTTTCCAGGGCAGCTTTGAACCATGATCCTCAGGATCTCAGCCTTCTGAGTTGGCACAGAGCTTATTATTATTTTTAATGGATTTATTTGTAGTTAAAAGAGAAGCAGAGAAGTATTTTGAAATATGTACATTTAAACCTTCCCATTCTTATGTCTTCCTGAAGTACAGAGTTAGGGGAAGAACAATTCCAGTCAATGGAAAGAATATCAATTAGTCTTTTGAAATTTGCCATCCTTTTCTGACAAATGAAGCAGTATTTTAACCAGATACTTCCATTTTTCTTATTATACCATTCCTCTTTAATCAGGTTTCTGAAACTCGGAGGTAGGGTATGTGCCAACACTATCATGCCACATTTAAACTTTGTCATAGGCATTGGCCTATGATCAGCAAACAATTCTCAGGATGGCCATTTTCCTGGGTAGGAGGCCCATATGCAGGGCAGAAAGGAGGCAGGAGTCACTTTTTGTCTTCACTAGCAGATAGGTCCTAGTAAAGAGGACAGTTCTACTACACCAGACCTTATCTGGTATAAGTGCAATATACAGATACATTTGAATGGGCCATTAGTTTGCCTCTCTGCGATGTGGAAACACATAGTATCACCTTCCTAATGTCATAACCAAACTTCCTAAGTTTCCAATTGTCTTCCTGTGTGTCAAAACACTAAGTTTTATATTTTCACATCCCAGGCAGACAGATATATGTAAATGGAAGAACAACTAGATGTTTCATTTGTTAAGTTTAACATGTTATGTAGTTAAAATTCATTAATTACAATGTGCATGCTCATATGTTTTAAGGTTATAATGTGTGTCTGAAGAACACACTATTGATCAATACATTTTAAAAGCCAATGCTTTTGTTTTTAATCATACTTTTTGGTTTCTAAAGTGGTTTCACTCATAATTTACCTCTTTAGGGTAAATTTAGGGTATAGTACCTTGCCTAGCAAGCAAAAGGCTCAGGTTTCCAATCCAGTACTGCCCCAAATAGAATAAACATAACAACCACAACAAACAGCAATATAGAAACCAAAAAGAGGGAAGGGAAGGTGGCTCAGTGGTAGAGCGCTTGGCTTGCAGGCATGAGGCCTTGGGTTTGATTCCTCAGTACCACATAATCAGGAAGTGGTGCTGTGGCTCAAGTGGTAGGGTGTTAGCCCTGAGCTGAAGAGCTGAGGGACAGCACCCAGGCCCAGAGTTCAGGCCCCATGACCGGACCCAAAAAAAAAAAAACAACCAAAAAAAAAACCCTTTAATTTTTTTTTTTCTGTCAGTCGTGAGGCTTAAACTCTGGGCCTGGGAGCTGACCCTCAGCTCTTCAGCTCAAGGCTAGTGCTCTACCATTTGAGCCACAGCGCTACTTCCAGTCATCTGGTGGTTCATTGGAGATAAGAGTCTCACTTTCCTGCCTAGGCTGGCTTTGAACCATGATCCTCAGACCTCAGCTTCCTCCTGAGGAGCTAGGATGACAGGCATGAGCCGCTAGTGCCTGGCTCAGCCTTTTAATTTCTATAAGCCCAATGTTTTGAATTGCCT